GCCAGACTTGCTCTGTTTTTCCTGGTTCATGACAAGAATTCTTTTTGAACTAATCAAATACTACTGAATCAAATATTTTCACACAGAAAGAGGTGATCCAATTGTGTACATAATGCATGTACCATTGAGGTGTTATACAGGCACCATTCTCTGCTTGTGAGAATATGATCGATTTCCACATGTGTGGTGCCGTTAGGAAACTCCCATGTTCATCGGCGTTTTCCTATTTTCGAAAAATGAATTCCCATGGAAGAGATATGTTGCGGGCAGGAGGTCCACTAAACGGCTCCCTTCCTCGTTTCTTCTCATTTTTCGAATTTCTTTATCCTGTACTCATTCTTGTATGCCGTTTTTAATTTGGCGTTGAAGATTCCAATAACGAATTTATAGGTCTTCTCGTTGTGGATTACTTCATCCAGCTGGTTTTACAAGGCGCCCACTTTGCTCTCATCAGCTGAACAAGTCGATGTGTGGCAGCTTATGATACCTACTTCCCATCGACGAGGAAGTTAGAGACGAAGAATAGCCAAGAGCAGTGATAGGACTCCGTGTGAGGTGAGTACATGGGAAACAGATGAATACGAACCAGCACTTCCGACATTCTGTAACGGAAATTTCTCTCCACGAATGACAAGCGTTCCGTCACCTAATCGATGAATGCCGGTTTTCCTGCTTTTTGTCACTTATAAGGCGATCACATGAAATTTAATGCGATGTTCAGCCTGAAGAACAGCGTGAAGGTCGGCGCTCTCACTTTAAAGGTGCACAGCAAGAATAAGTCTCCATGGCATGTCGTGGGCATGGTCATTTTGTCCTAGTGACGTCCTGTGTAAATCGAGATTTGATCGCTTCTCATCGGTTGTCTCACCACCCAACGTCGTAGACCGGAGCGCCCGGCGTGCGGGATACGGAGGCAGAATTATTGCTGGATGAGCGATCTGCGGTTTTCTGGAGTCCGAAGTCAAGGAAGTCAGCCTAGCCGAAGCCTTCCTCAAGTCGCCGACACTTGTGGATCAGAGCAAGATTTCCCACCAAGCAAGAGTTTGATCTTAGCACGGGAGTAATTCCTGTAATTCGTTTACTGTTATTTGGGGTTGCGAATAGAAAGGTCGGAGTCCTTTTCGGATTGAAAGACCCTGCTGGGACGATGATCCCACAGCTGTGCATTGGAGTCCTATACCCGAGACCACCTCCCAACCACGATGAGGCGGCAAACCTTTAGGAAGAGATAGGAAAACGCTTACAAAATTTATCACGTGTACCACCTTTGTTTCCGTTAAGCTTCGGAACACTCGATTGCCTTCACTAGTCTTTCTTTTTAACTCATGAACGCTGTGGCTGCTCAGCTACTCCGTTGCCTCAAACAGAATTGGTACAACTCGTATGAAGTGCTGAGATATTTGCAAAACTCCGGACCACAGGTGTATGCAGTGGGGAACGAACACGCGCTGTTGTCCTTACCGGGGAGCAGCGCACTTCACCACTACACCATCCGGGTCCTTCGCTTTGCATGTATCTCAGCTAGTTCTATCGATCTTTTTGCCATCAGCAATCACCCGTCAACGGGATTGATCTGGAGAGCCAATATCGGCATTGAACCCAGTTAAGCTGAGGCCTCGTTATAATCACAATCTTAACTCTTTTATTTACTGCCTTTTTCTTCTTAATGGCAGGGTAGAATTGGTACATTTTTGTAGCATTCTTAATCTTTATGGGCACGTGTGGCGCACTGAATAGAGGTGTCCTCAAGTACATCCCTAAGGCTACCATCCCCAGGGCAATGGGAAATTGCTATAAGACTTGTCTGGGAGGATAGCAGCACTAACTTGATACATCGGCAGTTCACCGCAAGTCATTGTATAGGCCAGATGTGCACTTAGTCACCTCTGACGGTGCCCAATGAAACCGAATGCATGGTGCATCCCTCAGCGATTGATCAACACCAAAAGCTTTACCCTATTTTCCATCATCCTCGATGTTTACTTAGCTGTTCAGAAATCAATCTCGGACATATAGTTTCATAGAGGATCTATAGAGGACATAGAGGACCTATTCAGTGCGACACCGGCTGAAGTCGGATGAATTCCAGAATTCCAGAGATGAATCGCAAAGATCAGATGTGAGCTCGTACCACAACTCAGGGTGATTTCTTCCGACCTGGAATGGCACACTCCTGACCCATTTCAGACTCTGCGTGGCTGGTCTTCACCCAGTAACTGAAAGAATTAGAAAAAGCAAAACGGCTCTGAAGAAGGCGAAACCGCTGAAACGTCATCCGCTATTCTACTGGATAAATTTTGTTGCTAACAACCTCGTGTTTGCGCATCAAGAAAACAAAGCATCATGTAATGAATGCCGAGAGAAAGTCGTTTGTGAGAACTCATTGTCGCTTTCAAACTTAGTAGCATGGTTATAGCATTACGAGGTTAACTGATTTAAAATCCACTGGACGAGTAACTGAACGTCATAGACGGTGTGCAAGCCGCTCTACAGGAATTCATTAGCGCGTTCTGTGCTCTAGGCTGTGAACACTGCGCTACACGGAGAATCAGGCGTCCTTTAAACATGCAATGGGGGTCACTGATAGACATAAGCCCGATAGCCTCACATTGCATTTCGTTTCACTACTATTACGGAGTCTACATCCTAGTCCAGATCGTGCATTTACAAGCTGTCCATTCGATTAACCCTGACAGTTTTAATCGGTTTAATAATAACTCAAAGAATCCTTTCTATTCTTGAGCAAACATGAGGTGTTACTTTATTCTTTACTAACCAACAAGCTGACATTTCGGCGGATTTCGCCTTCCTCAGAGCGTGGAAAGGTCGAGTTGACCGCAATCTATCCGGCTGAACACCTCCATAGCCAAACGGCGAAAATACCAAACCAAGATTACTGTGGCATTGAACACGGAATAGCTTCTTCACGCACTCACCGCTTTCTATTTATATGTTATTTCTATGTTATTCGATCAGTGCCGAGGTTGATAGAAAGTCGGTCGGGGGCGACTTAAAGTTTCTCATTTATCCCTTCTTTCGCCGATTCATTGTTCAAGCTCTCGTAACCCTGCATCCGATTTCATAATGTGTGCTAAAAGAATCTTTCGAAGCATGCTTTATTTCGTTCGTGTCTCGCATTTCTTCTAAACCATTCCGGTAAATTCTCTGTTGTTTGTAGTAGTTTAACCGTCTTCAAGTGAGACAGTGGTCAATTAGTTTCGTTTAAGTAACAGTATGTCACTGGAAAAAAAAACTCGAAGAAGACTTTGAGCTTAAATCACCTGATCCTGACGTCGTAGAATTATCTGCCTGCACTGGTCCTATCCCCTATCCAGCGAAACATAGCTTTCTGTGAGACAACTTTTTTGATGTTCCAGTATAGATGTGCGAAGTTCTTGATAAAAGGATAAAGGATAAAGCTCTCGACGTTGATCAATTGCTGAAGGATGCGCCATGCATTCGATTTCATTAAGTATCGTTGTAGGTGATTGAACGCATATCTGGCCGTTTTTACAATGACTCGCTGTGGCCTACCTATGTATCGAGCCAGTGCTGCCATCCTCCCAGACAAGTCTCGTATCAATTTGCCGACCCCGGTGGATGGAAGGCTTGGTGAGCCATGGGGGCAGGGACCAATTCCACGTGTGTATTGCAGGGCGTCTCCGACCAAATTCCGTTACTTTCATGTATCACCCTATCTAGGAGGGTCCACAGATTAACAGTGCAGGTTGCCACCAAAGAATATTCAGGGTTGCTGCCTTGGTCCCATTCACAGCATCGAACACCACCCTAATCATTCGAACCCCCCACCCAAGTCAGAGCCGAAACCAAAATCTTGGACAGTTGCCTTGGGTAATCATTGAGGGAAATATTCTGCCCTTTTCTCTCTTTGGACCAACGAAAGCCTGACAATGAGAAAGAGCTAATAAAAGAGAAAGAGCTGCTCATGGCGTTCATACTAAATCGTTGTTATTGGAATTCCTCTGCTTACGTGGTTCAAAGCTGCTCGTTTACCACCAGTCAACCTTACGAGACTGGGTCTGTGACATATCATAGTTAGAGTCCAGCGCTATGAACACCAAGCAGTACACTGTTGATGGGAGAAGTTTGGGTAGGCTATCCGATTTTTGTTTCCTTACATGTAAACCTTCGAACGTATATTTATATTATCCTGCTCTTCTTGGTGGTATCTCTTGGAATTGCAATAAATATAAAGACGTCGGAGGAAACATGGCGTAGAACTAATCATGTTTTAGGCTATCCTTGTTTTTTATCGCTTTTCTGAACTTTGATGGATCGACTTTTGTAGGAACCACGGAACAAGTTATCATTCCCTGTTCTGCTTTCAGGACAAACAGTGGTTTTTGTTATTTGGCGTTCTCATCCGTTCCGTATTTTTCGAATCTAGTATCGGTTACCCTCCCAACGGCTTACCACCGCCTCATTGTGACTGGGAGGCGTTCCTGGGTGTCGGGATGCGACGTACAGCGGAGATTCATCTCTTCCAGTAAGATCTCCTAAGTTGAGAAGGAGTCTTGCGTTTCCATCAGGAAGCTTAGCTAAACCAATAGCAGGATCCACCACCAACCTGGTATCAAGCCACTCGCATGGTGGCAATTCGCGCTCTGATCCACAAAGGCGGCTCCTGCCTGTGGTGGTGATCTGGGCAGACTTTGACAAGGCTGCACTTAGGACTCCAGGAAAATACAATGGCTTAACCAGGAAATTTTCGAAAAATGGAGAATATTCTGGGCCCACACAACCAGTGAAGACGAGCCATCCAAGTGTCTAAGTGTGTAAGTATCGGTTACATTTATTGTTTTTCATACAGTGCCGTTTTTTGCATCGCTTTTGATTACATTCCAAATCACCTATATCATCTTTCTGTTCCCTTTCTGCCTTGGTTTTTTTTGCTGTACGGATCGGAATATCTAATCGCTGAAGATTTCTAATGCTATGATTAGACATACTCAGGTGAATCCTGGGACGTCCACGTCGACATGTCAAGCGGTGGTTGGAATGTGAATGCGGAAACTTTTGTACCAAATGTTAATGCCCGACCGTTTGTGCCCGGTCAGCCGTATTTTGCTGGTCAACCTTCACCAGCTGCACCTGGTGACGTTCCAGTCGAAGGTAAGATCTTCATGTATAGGGATATATCTTGTACCTCCATATTGGTTGTCAGTTCTCTTTACGTAGACTGTATATTTTGAATACATAGTGGCTAAAATAGTAGCGAGGCTTTGTACAGTACAGTTATAGACTTTTCTATTCTTCTAGTTCCTGTCTTTAGCTTTGTAGTAAGGCACCCTTAATTGTTATGTATGAATTTGAGCCTTATCAGTTGGGAAATTAAGTATCAGACGAATGTTTTTGATGATATTCAGTGAGTGTTTTACTTGTATATTTCGGAAGGAAACCTCCAAACTTCTAGTTCACCACTTTCCAATTGAACAATTAGAGTGAAACAACAATAGTCAATGCTTTTAAAAGCTTTGTATTCTGTCTCTTACGTCCATGCTTTAGGTAGTCTTGTTGGAATTTAGAACTGTTAAAAAGGAATTATTATTGGTCCAAAAAGACGTGGTTCAAATTGACATTGCACCAGGAGGCCTTTTGCGACCTAAAAATTCGGCGTGTTTATCAGTGATTATTTTTGATCTTAGTGTTTTTTCCTTGTTGCTTTTAATACTCGCAGCGCTCGTATTTTTTGTTTACTGGTTCTTTTTCTTTTGTTATAGAATGGGATGCTGAAGTAGCTGATGCTTCGGTTGGAACTACGGAGGAAAATGCGTACATCACACCTGAAGCACCGGCGACGCCTGCAGTTAAGGTTGGTGCATTCTTTCAGTGTAGTATTGTGAAAGGTAGCACAACACTCGTAATGGGGTGGGTAGATTGGTACCAGATTTGTCTGGAAGAAAGTCAGCACTGGCTATGCACATCGGTAGGCCACCGCGAGTTATTGCAAACGCCAGATATGCATTCAATCACTTCCAGCAATGCTTAATGAAGTCGAATGCATGGCGTATCTCTCAGGGATTGTTAATTAACGCCAAGGGCCTTATCCTTTATTACTTCATGTCACTGTTTAAGTATGTAGCAGATCTGTGAAACCCTTAGCTGTAAAGTGCTTTCGATAGCACTCGCTATTCTTCGAGAAGACTCTGAATTCCTATTTTTGTTTTCTTTCATGCGTTTATTCCTTGGAGAGCGCTTAAAATTTTTAGTTATGTGGTTCCGTAGAGACTATTCTTCACCTTGAAGAGAATGGTCTCCATTTTATAACACTCGTGGATATAGTGCACCTTCCTTGAACATTATTTACTGTCTTAACCTTTTTATTTACTATCTATTTTTTAATGGCAAGGTGTATTGCGAAATTAACTACAATGCTGCGATATTTGCAAAACTCCGAACCGCAGGTGTCTGCGGTGGGGAACGAACGCGCTGTTACTCTTTTCGGCGCTAACGGGTTCGCCTCCACACTATGCCGTTCTTCGTTTCGCCTTTCTCTCGGCTATTATTTACTGTTTTGTGTAAGAATTTGTGTTTCAAATTATATCACCTAAGGCCCCGTGTGCATGGTGGCTTTCCTCTGCAACCCTCTCCACCCCGTTCAAACATGGCTGTCTTACACTCACTTATTTAGCCTGTTACCATATTCTAGCCCGTATTGTTCCAGTATTCGCGTGTCGTTTCTGCTGTATTGTTGTTGTTATAAATAGCTATAGACATGGCTGGTTGAAAGAAGTGGAGCACCTAAAACGCGAACTAATCAACGCAGATTTATCAGTTCTCTCTCATTGATTCTCGTCAATCTGCAGTCTTTTCCTTTCTCTTTTATGGTTATTAGTATACACCAATTGCTAGATTTTTTTGTGGTTGCCCTTTTCTAAATGAAATCAGATATCATCTATCAGGTTATCGAGCCTTCTCGCGAAAAAACTGAAGAGGCTGCAGGTGAAGGCGAAAAGGAGGCTTCCGAAACTAATGATGTGGTTCTTCCATTGGCGAAGAAATTTGAGCGAGTTGCATACGTGGATGGTTAGTGACAACTCTCATTGCTACTAAAGTTGGTGATAACTAATTCGTAGTCTCTAATTTATAGATGGAACTCATAAGGAGCACGTAAACATGGTGTTTATCGGGCATGTGGACGCGGGGAAGTCAACAATCGGAGGTTATTAATATTATGTCATTGTTCTTAGATTACTCGTAAATCCTTTGCGGTCTTAGTTACGTTTTTGTTTTCCCAATTTTTCTTTCATGATCCAAGAGCCATAACTGTCAGCAGACTTCAGTAGTTTATTGCAAATGTTTAGGTCAACTGATGTACCTTACTGGAATGGTTGATAAACGTACGCTTGAAAAATATGAGAGAGAGGCAAAAGAGAAAGGTCGTGAGAGTTGGTGGGTTTTTCTTCACTAATAACTACGTCAATGAGCACATATAGCTCTGATCGAGTTTGCGGTTGATACTTTAAATGTATAGGTCTGTGTAGCGCTGTGATTTGTTCCACGTTACGTGTGTGGTCATTAGTTCGGTTCCAAATTCTGTACTAATCAGGCATAAATATCCCTTAAGTGTCTGTAGTTTACTTCGAAGCTTCTCTGGTAGAATAAAAGACACTGGTTGAATACGCTTTAGTTCGCCACAACTTATCGTATAGACCAAACATGCATTGAGTGAAAGACTGTCCAGTGCTTTATAGAATCTACAGAATAGTACATTCGTAAACGACAGCTTGACAAAGAGCTGTTAAGTATTTTCGCAAACATTTTTGTGAATTTGTTTGCTCACTGGGTGCACCGTTGAGTATTATTGTGGTAGCATCCTCTTTCATGTTAGGTATTTGTCGTGGTGTATGGACACGAATGAGGAAGAGCGTGAAAAAGGAAAAACTGTCGAATGTGGTCGGGCATATTTTGAAACCGAGAAGAAGCATTTTACGATTTTGGACGCACCGGGACACAAGAGTTTTGTGCCAAATATGATAAGCGGAGCAACTCAAGCTGATTTGGCTGTATTGGTGCGATATCTTCTATTGTTATCTTTCCGTTTTCAAACTTTCTTAAATGTGATTTTTGTCATTTTTCGTTCTTTTCCCTGTAGCACTACATTTGTCAGGTAATTTCTGCCAGAAAAGGGGAGTTCGAGACTGGATTTGATCGTGGAGGTCAGACTAGGGAACATGCAATGCTGGTTAAGACGGCCGGTGTGCGACATCTTGTAATTCTTGTCAATAAAATGGACGATCCTACTGTGAAATGGGATGAAAACCGGTAAGGATTTTGGGTTTCTTAATTTTCTTTTTTGAAATTTAGAAGTCCGGGTGGCAATATTGTTGCTGATAAGCTTTTTGGATTATCTCCTGCTTCAGGTGAATATGTAGTATGAATAGCATAGTACACTTAAAAGAGCTACCTGAATAACTGGAATTTCATAAGAGAACTCAGTGTTGATCATAGAGTGCTGCGAGAAGAGTATAGACATAGTTTTGACAGATTTCGAATGCTGTGTATTGTGTACGATTTCAAAATCCCCCTGTACACATCTTTACAGTGAATCCAGTAAGCTTCTCATTTCCCTTTGTTGGCGTCGCGCGTACATGTGTGTTATCTCCTGATGTGTTTTTTGAAAATGTACATGTGTCCTAGGTTGACGGCATTCGGATAAAAAATAAAACCCGCAAGCCTCATCGCTCTACGCAAAGTTCTATAACTCGAGGATTCATTTTGAATTAAAAGTGGTATTTTTCCGAATGCTACGTTGTCTTCTGAATATATTAAGCAACTTGTTCTTCAATTTCTATATGACCCAAAGAAGGGCTGCTGCATGGTCATGGTTTGAAACGAGATTTGTTTTATTGGCTGTTCTTGCGTATGTCCAGATGTGAGGATCTAGCTGAGAACTTCTGAAGTTGTATCTAAAGTCTAAAATGTGAGCAGTTTGGTGCTTAATTTCGCCTGCTGTCGTTCAAAGCTATGCGAACAATGTCCTCCAGTAGTGAAAATATGAAGGGAATTTGCACAGCTGTTTTTTCGCATTCATCTTCTGCAAGCTCATGTAGGACGTTCTGATCCTAAAAGATACTATTTGAATGATCATCTTCGTTACATTGAACCGTTAATTTCCGTTATCGATTAATTACTGGTTTGTGCGAACTTTATAATTCCAGTTTACTCCTAGGTAATCATCATTAATGAAATCCACCGAAAATTTGCAAATAGAGCATGCAGCATGAAACTTCGGTGACGTTGATCATCTTCACCTGGACCACCTATAACTTGTTCATCATCCAGTTACATAGGCAATTCAACATAGTTTTCTCGCTAAGGTTACTTGGTAGGCTTTGTAATTTCTATTTCCGACATTTCATTGCTGCTATCTAAACCCTTCACTCCCCATAGCACGTAATTGTTCGTGGTGAACTTCTGGTACAGGTATGCAGATCAGGAGCGTATATTTTAGTTCTGTTAAATGTAGGTGCTTCACCAGGGACAAATTCCACCGCTTTCCTACAATTTTAGACCATTTTTCTTCCAAACATGCACATTTCTGAAAGCGTCCAATGTCCATTCAACGTAGGTAGAATTTCGGCTTATATTGGCTTGTCAGGACGCGCGCAGCGCAGTGATCGGATGCGCCGTGCTATATACATGGGATCGATCCCGCACCCAAGGCCCATCATTCCCATCCCTCCGAGGTCGGCAAATTGGTGCAAGACCTGTCTAGGAGGGTAGCAGCACTGATTCAATACATCGGTAAACCACCGCGGGCCATTTTAAAGGCCAGATATGCATTCAATCACAACGGTTCTTGTTGAGGTCGAATGTATGGTGCACCTCTCAGGGATTGTTCGATGCTTGGAGCTTTATCCTTTATCCTTTATTATTGGCTTGTCGAATCGCACTCTTCAATGACGGTCATATTGGACATTCTAGCGATGAAATTTACAACATCGGCTTTTGTTATGCGTAATCACAATCGCCTTTACTTGCGCGGTTGTGCTTCTTCGTGTGCGGGTTATATGTATCTGACAAGTGGTTCATCTAGCTATCAGCAGTGTAGGGTATTAGTAGGAGGATTGCTGATCTGCTCGAATGGGCTAAAGATGTAGTTCAACAGTTCTTTGTTCATATTTTTTCGTGTTTTGAGGACTGTGTACTCAGAAGGTAGACTGAAGTCTTCAAGCAGGAGAAGAGTCTGACTGTGGTGAAAACTGAACTGCTTTTTTTCGTCCCTATTTGGAAACCTCGTTTTTGAGGACTACAAGGTCGTTGCTATGACCCAACCTCCCATCCCTCTGTTGTTGGGAAAGTTGTTCCATATTTACTCGGGATCAGTTCACTCCTTTCAACTCAAAAATAGTGGTTACTGGTGTAACGGAGATCTGGGACCATCTTAGCATGACGATCCCAGAACGCATGGGAGAATCAGCTCGACCAATATTCAACGATTTCTGAGAAAAGGCAAAATCCTCGAGTATGGAGCAAACGTCCACCGAGGTCCGAAGACTTTAGTGGATTGATGGAATCCACGCAATATGTGATGTAGGATATTGAGGAATCACCTGTATCACCTGTAGTTCCGTTGATCGTCGAGTGACTCGATCGGGAGCCAGTAAATCTTCCATTTTTCTCTGTCGCGTGCAAGAGTAGTCCAGTGGGTTCTGCTCGCTCTAGGAAGTAACTCGTCGAGCATCACATCTTTCTTCAAGGCTCTTTGTGAAGAACTCTGACCCTTGGGTCGGTGGTCTTCCTGCAGTACGTTTAACATCGCGAAGAATGCAGTCACTAACGGCTGTTGTCCATCGGTTGTCATTAATACGCATTACGTGTCCGGCCCTCCTTATCCTCGACTGTTTAGCGTACAGAACGGCATTTTTGATTCTTGATCGTTGACGCAGATCGGTGCTTCGGGTTCCATCTCTTACTTGTGTGGAACGAGATACTCCTAGCATCGTCTTTTCGACTGCGCGTTCGATAACACTGAGTGATCTTTCATCCTGCTTGCGCAGCGACCAGGTGTCTGACGCATACGTTAGGGCAGGAAGTACCGTTGAGTCCAGAAGGTGGGCACGGTGTTGGGTGTTCTTTGTTCTCTTCTCTACATCCTCCGTGCTCTTTGACAGCTCCCCAAGCTGTTCTTTTCCTTCTACTCGGCTTTCGAGCTAAGTGGTTCATCATATTGATTTTACTACCTAGATAGATATAACTGGAGTATTCGGAGATATTCGTTCCGTTGAGCGTGAATGGGGCATAGGAAACCCATCCGTTCTTCGTGAACATCGTTTTTGTGAGATGTAGTCGAAGACCAATCCTTCTACAGACTTTATCAAATTCGGCAAGCATACGTTCCGCTTGGCTAATGTTTGGTGTTATAAGGACGATGTCATCAGCAAAGCCAAGATGGTGTAGCTGCTGATCATTTATTTTCGCTTCCACGTTATCCCATTCCAGTGTTCGCATGACGTTCTGGAGAGTTGCGGTAAATAATTTCGGCGAGATGGTATCGTTTTGCTTAACTCCTCTTTTGACGTCAATGTTAGTATCGTTGTAGAATGGTGATATCTTGGTTGTACGATTTTTGTACAGCTTACAAAGAATCTTTATATACTGAGTATGGACTCCTTGACTATTAAGGGCTTCCAAGACTGCTTCAATCTCAACTGAATCAAAGGCCTTCTGTAAATCGATGAAAGTGAAACAGAGAGGTCATTTGTACTCTCACGATACTTCAATGAGACCTGTCACCGTGTGGATGTAGTCCATCGTAATAAATCCTTTTCGAAACCCTGATTGCTCACATGGCTGTCCTTCGTCTAGTGTTCTGTCAATCCTGTTTCGGACGGCTCGAGTGAAAAGTTTGTAGACGATAGACAGCAAGCAGATTGGGCGATGGTTGCCGATATCGTGTAGGTCACCAATCTTGAGCAACAACGCTGTTTTACTGGTCTTCCACTGAGTAGGGACCTTGGATTCAGACAGACAACGTGTGAAGAGCCGAGCCAGTGTGTTTATGAGGACTGGCGGAACCTTCCTCAGGTGTTCTGGTCTTATCCTGTCCGGACCTGGTTCGTGTTCGACTTTTCATCGACGGAATGTCATGTCGGATTTCGGAAGAAAGAAGCGGTGGTACAACATAGCCACACTCCTTTATTTCATATGACGAAGGTGAACGTGGCTATCGAAGTGATCCGAGTAGTATTCGTGAATAATTTTCTCCGTTGCCTTTCTGGACCCTGTAACTGTTCCGCCTAGGCATCGGAGTACAATCATCTTGTTCTTGTAACTGGCCAAGCTTCGGTGGGCTAGAGCGTTTCTGGAGTCAGATGTCTGTTGGTGACTTTCGAACTCTGAGCTTTCATAGCGCTAACGTGAAGATGTTGAATGAGCCGATCGTATTCTTCGTCGATGTTATCGACAACGGCATCTTCCCAACAACCAACTAATGAATTTAATAAATCCCAGTTTACGTTGGTTCTGCGACCTCGGTTTTTGAATTTAGCGGTTTTTGTGTCGTTTTCTTGTTCAGCAATCGCGAGGTTTTTAAGACGCATACATTTACTTCCATAAAAACACAATACAATACAACGCTAGCTGACGTTTCGGCAGTATCGCCTTCTTCAGAGCCTGGAAGGGTATACTGATATACAATCTACTAGGCCAAACGCTTCAATAACAGTTACACAAAGACGGAAGACTCTTTGGTAATCACATGATCAACAGCTTCTCGAAAAACCCACCGCTTTTTCGTGACTTCCAATGAGGAAGTTTAGAACAGCTGATTATAGTCGCATGTGGTTGACGACTGCACCATCCCACATCAAAAATCGATGCGAACGTACGGGATCAGGTCGCGTATGACCTCCGGGCATTCGTCCCTGCTATTCATTGTAGGTTTTAGCGGTTTTTTCTCCTTTCCGCGTGAAATAGAATTTTGCACGATGGAGGCGGTGGTTTGATTCCGTGTAGAATTTTGGAACAACAGCGTCATTGGCTAAGCAAAACCTTCTATTTGCCATGTTGTGGTCTATTTGGTTATGGTACTCTCCATTGGGGACTTCCACGCCCAGCGTTGAGGGGGTCTTTCTGGAATTGCAAGTTACCATGGATAGTCTTGGTCGACGTGATAAACTCAGATAGCCGCTCACCGTGTTCGCTCCATTCTAATCCGTGGGTTCCAATGTGATGTTATTCAGACGTTCTTCTTGCTCTAATCTTAACGTTGAAATCTCCAATGATGGCCTTGAAGAATGTATGGTCTTCGCTGTAGAACTTCTCCAAGTCCATATAGCACGCTTCAATTTTTTCTATGTCATAGTTTAATGTCGGCGCGTAGATTGACAAAGCTGATATTGATCCACATCTTTTTAATCGTAAGCGTCCGATTTGGGTTGTAAGCTGTTCGAATGAATCGATGTTCGTGGACAAACTAGTGTTGACGAGAACGTCGACGCCACTGACGCCTCCACTGTCGCATGTTCCGAGGAACAGTTCTTCTCCGGTGTCATTTATCCTTCTTTCTTGCATTTATCCTTCTTGCTTGCAAGTCTTCTATCGAGGAGGAAGCAAGTGTACGTGCATTGTAGATGCAGATCGCCGCTATAGTTCTTTGAAATCCAGGCAGCTTCCATTGGCCCTTTCAGCAGCCTCTCCGTACTTGTCCTACCCAACGCTGCGAAATTGGGCGCCCTTCCGGGATTAGGGGAATGAGACCTATTTTTTTTTTACTGTGTTTAGCGTTTTGATGCCCACGTATGGTTTGCTGGGCTCTGAATGTGGGGAATGGGTATACTCACGGGTAGCTTGCCAGGCTCTCCCAGTGAGGACATGGAGGCTTATTTGTTGGAGGCGACTCCTAACCGCTTTCCATATACTTCCCAGTCACTTGATTGCACTCTTTTGGCCGAATTGACTCGTAGAATACAATCCGCATAGACAAGAACGCACTCACAAACGCGTACATGAATACGCCTAGCAAATACAGAAAGTATGTGCCAAATCAGCGCTGCAGAAACAGGGAGTCGATCTCCTGGATCCACTTGCGTCTCAGAGAAGCAAAGGTCACTTTTGGTCCGTAATTAACCCCTATGCGCCACCTGGGGACGCGCCACGCAGCCTCGCGACTAACCGGCTCGAGATCCCTCATGTGAGGGAGATCGGTGGGTACTAAACATTGTATTGAATAATAAAGCACAGGTTTGAAAGTCGTTTAACCCCAAAATTCTGCCATCTGAATATACGTCCTTGTTCGCTAGAACTGCTCACTTACAACAAGACTAGGAAAATAAAATGACACTTGACACGCATGGGAAAATAACAACGACACGCATAACAATAACCATATATTACTCCAGTAGTAATATTGTCCTTACTTCCGAAAAGGTCGTAGTGTTTCTCAGTTCTCTTCCTATTTTTTAAAGCAGTATTACTCTAGTGCTATTGTTTCTCTGAAATAAAGGATTTTTCTAAAGCACGGTAGCTTAGAAATTAGCCGCATGTATGTATTCAATGAGGTATAAGGCATGTTAAGGTTCAACGAAATTCAAAGCAAGCTCACTCCGTATCTCCGCAAATGTGGCTTCAATCCTAAGACAGACATGACGTACATTCCTGTTTCTGGATTGACAGGAGCGTTCTTGAAAGATAGACCTCCTTGCGATCAAGGGGGGTGGTACAGGTAAATCATTTCTGGTTTCTTGTTAGGGAGTACAGAGTTTACTTTTAATTTCGATTGAGATACTAGTTAGTACTTGAAATCTTTTAATTTTCATGGTCTGTCTTTTAGTGGTCCTTGTTTCATCGACTATATCGATAATCATTTGGTTTCTATGGCTCGTGATTATAATGGACCTGTTCGTTGTATTGTAGTAGACAAGTTTTCCGTGAGTTTTAAAGCAATTGTCTGCGGATCTCGTAAACTACCCCTTTTCAAATCTTGTTCTCTTGCAAATGAATGACAGCGAAAGATTTAGGATATGGGTACTCTTATCATCGGTAAAATGGAGTCAGGTGTCGTTGTTAAAGGTCAGAATCTTGTCTTAATGCCCAATAAGGTGAGTAGTTCCTTTCCTAATTCTGAATAGCATTTTGAGTACTTAGTTTCTGTATATTTCCAAATTCCCACGACCGACTTTCTTTAACCTCGGCATTGATTGATAATTCGATGTTTTTCTTCAATAAGCAGACACGAGGTTGTTAATTATAGGTTTTATTAGGATACAATAGCTGACGTTTCGGCGGTTTCGCCTTCCTGGAAAGGTCAAATTGAGATGCGATCTATCCAGCCAAACACTTTCATAACTCCAGCAGATAAAACTTAACATATAAATTTGTAGTAACTCCCAAGTCCGACTTTCTATTAACCTCGGCATTGATTGAATATATCTTTCTACTTCTGGTCAGCAAACACGAGGTGCTCTTTTATTTCTTTATTTACGCACAAGCTGACGTTTCGGCGGATTTCGCCTTCCTCAGAGCCTGGAAGGGTCAACTTGACAACAATCCATTCGGCCAAACACCTCCATAACTAAACAGAGAAAACGCTAAACCAAGATTTCAATCACATTTATCACAGCTCTGTACACTCACCGCTTTCTATGAGTCTTCCACTGAGTATGTCGCGTGAATACCGACCGCACCAAATTCAAGCGTAATGTGCTCCTCCCATCAGAATAACAGGTTTATATACTGTCCAGTATCGGAAACAAATCGTTTCCTTATATACATCGTTTTTATAAGGTTTAGTCGAAGGTCAATATCCGCAAGCGTTGTCGTTGCCAACTACCATTTGTTCCTGCTGCTAAATGTATGCTGTCGAAATCACGATATCATTGGCGAAGCGAACAAAATATGGTAGCCGATCATCGACTTCCTTCATGTTGTTTCAATTCCAATTTTCTCGTTCTTTACACGCTTTGCCTCCAACTACGTCATTAACGTCGATGTAAATATCGTTATGGAATGGTGATATTTTAGTTGTGAAATTTCTCTACAGCTTACGAAAGATGTTTGTATACTGAGCAGCTACGCCCAAGTTGTTCAGACCTTACATGAGCGCTTCTGCCGCAACTGAATCATAGTAAGAAGTAGTAGTGAGTAACATTTCGGCAGGTTCCACCTTTTTCAGAACCTGGAAAAGTGAAGTTGACTGAAATCTACTAGGCCAAGCACTTCCATAGCCCCAACATAAGAATTACGAAGTCTAGATTTCAATCGCATTGAAGACGAAGAAGCTTCCTGGCACACTCACCGCTTCCACTGTGTATTCCACGTGAAGACTAACCGCACAAGTTCCATATGGATGAGTCTCTCACCTCTCTCTCACTAAAATATAAGTCTTAAATATTATGTGATATCACACGTGTTAACGAGGCATTCTTCCCTGTGGTTCATTTTCGGGTTCTTGGAATTAATCCAAAATGCCTCTAGAGTTTTGCGCGCTTGTGTTCTCGATTCTTGCGCGAGGATCGTAACCCTTACTTCAAAATCTTCTCTGTTATGTTTCTGCGTGGTATGCGTGCCTAGTGGAGTACTTGGCTTACGTTTGCCGACTAGATGTTCTTTTATACGTACGCAGAGTGGTCTACCCGTTTCGCCAACGTATTCGTCCCCGCACGCTTTACAAGAGATCAGATAAACTGTGCCCGAACTCATGCAATTACCGTTTGTACCGTTAGGGCAAATTATACAGTTTTTCGTTATACATAGACGGTCATGTAGGCGGTTGCGAACTAGGTGGCGTCGTAGAGTGTCCGATGGTATTTCTATCACTCCTAAGGAATTCTCTAGGCTGGCCCTTATTAAGAAACGTTTTGTAGCTGCACTTATTTCGTTTGAAATAAAGGGTAAGAGGAACGGAGCCTTGTTTTCGCTAGAACAATCGCTCTGGAGCGTGGGTTTTCCTCTATGCCTATGCCGAGAAGCTACAATTTCGTAACCATTTGAAATGGCTATTTGGCGCGCCAGTTTCGAGGATTCTTCGCTCTCATCTCTACATGTGCACACACTGGCAACAAAAAGGAACAAAGAGAAAGTAGGAGCACTACCCGCACCTCCATTTCCTCGGTTATTCTTTAGATAGCAAGACCCAAACGACGAAGTCGATATAAAATTTCGTATATTTTCGAGCGAAACTGTCAAAGTCCTTAGCCACTATCGCGCGAAAAAGTTTAGTTCGAACCTTACAGCTGCGCAAGAATCTGTTATGCGACAAGTTCGAGAGCTAATAAAATCAATGACTAATAGACTACCAGTAAGTGATAAGGGTTTGTAGTAATTCCTCGCCAGTTAGATGTCGATATAACGAAAAAGCATCTTGAGGACGCATCTCTTTATCGCGCATCTACTGAAAAGGAATTCAAAAGTCAAAATCGAAAATTGAACAACGAATAGGTCACGATGGCAAGCGCAACAGGTTTGAAACTAGCAGACATTTCGCATCTTAAGATCGAAGTGCCGACATGTCCCGTCTTATACCTACTTATCAGGACCCATAAGTTAATATCCGCTGATGATTTGGCGTCTACCGGCCCTTCCACCTTTAAAGTTAGACCCATCATCAGTTGTGTAGGCTGGCCTGCGGATAGAATTGCTTGGTTTAAAAGTCTAATCCTCAACCAGTTGCTTAAGCACATACCAGGCCATCACACGAACACCCAAATGTTCCTAGACCGTCTGTGCACCTCACCTCCCAAAAGTGCGTATGTTATGGAGTCGTTCGACGTTACCGCCCTTTACACTAACGTGTCGAACGACTCCGCAATGCAGGCCATCCGAGAGCTCTTTGAGCAACACGAAGGAGCAATTAACATGTATGGCTTTTCGATTCAGCAGCTTATGTTCCTCCTAAAGGTCTGTTTAAACTGCTCGATCTTCAGATGGTCCGGGAAATATTACGCGCAAATTAGAGGGTTGGCAATGGGACAGCGACTGGCATCAACCATTGTCGTTGCCATTATGTTTAAATTGGAAGCACCAGTAATCGATCTCAGGCCGTTACTCTACTGTATTTATATAGATGATTGTTTTGTCATCTGCTCCACACAAGAGGATATGGACAAATGCTTTGAGTTATTGAACGAGCAGACAGAGTACATAAAATTCACCCGTGAGAAACCGAAAGATAACTGGCTTCCATTTCTAAACGTTCAAATCAACCTATCCCAAAACGGCTACAACACAAAATGGTATCGAAAGCCAAGTAGTAAGAATATAGTGATTCATTGCCTCTCCTCTCATCCCTCACACACTGAAAGGGTGCTTATAAAAATAAGAAATATGTTTCGAACCGCCACCAGCGTTTGCACAGGTAGAGTGGAGAGGAAAGAATCCTCGAAACTGGCACGCCAAATAGCCATTTCAAATGGTTACGAAACTGTAGCTTCTTGGAATAGACATAGAGGAAAACACACGCCCCAGAGCGATTGTTCTAGCGAAAACAAGACTCTGTTCCTCTTACCCTTTATTTCAAACGAAATAAGTGCAGCTATAAAACGCTGCTTAATAAGGGCCGGTCTAGAGAATTCCATAAGAGTGATAGAAATACCATCGGACACTCTACGACGCCAGCTAGTTCGCAACCGCCTATATGACCGTCTATGTATAACGAAAAACTGCATAATTTGCCCTAACGGTAGAAACGGTAATTGCATGAGTTCGGGCACAGTTTATCTGATCTCTTGTAAAGCGTGCGGGGACGAATACGTTGGAGAAACGGGTAGACCACTCTTCGTACGTATAAAAGAACACCTAGTCGGTAAATCTAAATTAGAACCAAACACTCCACTAGGCCCGCATAGGATGCAAGGACACAACGGAGAATATTTTGAAGTAGAAGTCACTATCCTCACGCACGAATCAAAAACATCAGCGCGTAAAACTCTTGTGGCGTTTTGTATCAATTCCAAAAATTCAAAAATGAACCGTAAGGAGGAGTGCCTTCTTATCACGCGTGACCTGGCGCCATACCTCAGGCCAATCCAATAACCTGACACAGGCACAGTCCTCGCCCATGTGATACTCTGTGCGGCTGCTATCCATTAACTAACTTAAATACAACAAATAAACGGTAGGTGTTTAAATGAAGCTGTGTCTTATGTGAATACAAATTTATTCATTTCTTCAACGCAGGAAGAAATCGACAGATGTTTCGAGTTGTTGAACACACAGTCAGAGTATATTAAATTCAACCGAGAGAAACCAAAAGACAACTGGCTTCCATTTCTGAACGTGCAAATAAGCCTATCAGAAAACGGCTACATTACGAAGTGGTATCGAAAGCCAAGTAGTAAAAACATCTTGGTTCATTACCTCTCCTCTCATTCCTCTCACACGAAAAGGGCGTTTGTGAGAAACATGTATCGAACAGCTACCAGCGTGTGCACAGGAAGACAACAGAGAGAGGGATCCCGGAACTTGGCGCGGCAAATAGCCATTTTTAATGGCTACGAAACCGTAGCTCGAGATAGGTGTAGAGGAAACCACAGGTACCCCAACGGTAACTCTAGCGACAACAAGGTCCCGTTTATACTGCCCTTCATTTCAAATGAAGTAAGTGCAGCTATAAAACGCTGTTTAAGAAGGGCCGGTCTAGAGAATTCCGTAAGAGTGGTAGAAATACCACCGGACACTCTAAGACGCCAGCTAGTTCGCAACCGCCTGTACGACCGTCTATGTACAACAAAAAACTGCATAATTTGCCCAAATGGTAGAGACGGTGATTGCATGAGTTCGGGTACAGTCTATCTGATCTCTTGTAAAGCGTGCGGGGACGAATACGTTGGCGAAACGGGTAGACCGCTCTTCGTCCGCATAAAAGAACATCTAGTCGGTAAATCTAAATTAGAACCAAACACTCCACTAGGCGCGCATGGGATGCAGGAACACAACGGAGAATATTTTGAAGTAGAAGTCACTATCCTCACGCACGAATCAAAAACATCAGCGCTTAAAACTCTTGTGGCGTTTTGGATCAATTCCAAAAATTCAAAAATGAACCGTAAGGAGGAGTGTCTTGTTATCACGCGTAACCTGGCGTCATACCTCAGACTAATCCAATAACCTGACACAGGCACAGTTATCGCCCGTGTATTACTCTGTGCGGCTGCTATCCATCAACTGACTTAAATACAACAAATAAACGGTAGGTGTTTGAATGGAGCTGTTTCTTATGCGAATACAAATTTATTTGTTAAGTTTTATCGGCTAGGGTTATGAAAGTGTTTGGCTGGGTAGATCGCATCTCAATTTGACCTTTCCAGGCTCTGAAGAAGGTGAAACCGCCGAAACGTCAGCTATTGTATCCTAGTAAATCCTATAATAACAACGTCGTGTCTGCTTATTGAAGAAAAACATCGAATTATTTCCAAATTTTTACGTAGGGTGAGTGGCCCCGTTTGACTTATTGTGTGTGATATGTCTTCAAGAAGATTTGTGCAGGCCATACCCCAATTTGGGCTGGTAATTTCTTTATCACGCAATATTTTCTTTCCTTAGAGTCTCATGACACCTGCACTTGAGTGTTCACAACTGTAGACTACAGGAAATCGCTGGCTGTTATGGACTGGCGGAAGATCCGCTACGCTGCGGCGAGAATTCCATCTTGAGGGCTCTTGTTCGTGGCACTGGTTTATTTTTCGAGGGTTTCGAATGAAAATGTCGAAGTATTCAGTGTGAAGAACACTAACGGGAGGTCGAACCCCGCTGTACATTGCAATTCGATGCTTAGGAACACCTTTTGGACATCTTGAGGCAGTATGGTCGGGTCTTGAGGGTTTGTGTTGTGTATGTGAGTGTATATATGTATATATATACATATATATATGTATGTGTACGTGTGTATATCTGTTGTGTGTCGATAGGTATATGTGTTTATGTGTGTCTCTGAAATTTGATGTTTTTGAACACAGAGTTTATTGCATATTGCTGGGAAATGAGTTTAGTGGCAAGAAAATATCTTTGGCAATTAAATGATGGTATTTTTGCTGATTTATCTAATCATAGCAAGCTGTTCAAGTCATTCAACTTTGGTCCGATGAAGTGGAGACCGACCGTGTTGTGTCCGGAGACAATGTCAAATTCAAACTGAAGGGTTTGTTGTCTTTAATTTTCTTGAGGTGTTTCCGGCTGAAGCGGCTGAGAAAATTGAGTGCATGACCAGCACTACTATGGTTTTCCGAAAGTTTTTGAAATGGAATGGCAGCGACAAGGTTTGGTTCTGCAAGAGAAGGAGAGATAGGAAAGATTATTGGAATGGGGCGGTATTGCTTCAAACTCGCGGCTACTTTCTTTAAATAATTTTTTTAGAATTAACTAAATATTAATCGAAAACCAATCAGATATCTATTTAGGAGTTGAGGAAAATGAACTTCAATCGGGTTTCATTATTTGTTCTGCGGATGCACTTTGCAAAGTTGGTCGTGTTTTCGACGCTGAGGTAAAACTATGTCTAGTGAAGAATAACGTTATCTTTTGTACAAGCTAATGGCGCAGAGATGTTTGTAAAACTCCGGACCTCAGGTGTCTGTGGTGGGGAACGAACGCGCTATTACCCGTTCCAGAAGCTGACGCGTTTACCACACGCCATGCGGGTCCTCCATTTCGCCTGCCTCTCAACTAGTTTTGTACCTACTAGTGCCATCAGCATCTTTTATTACTGCAGCGACGGTTTTCCAGGTCGTCATTCTGGAGCATAAATCGATAATTGCCTCCGGTTATACGTGTGTTCTCCATATTCAGTCTGCTGTTGAGGAAGTTTCTGTAAAAGTGAGCACATATGACTTTAAGTTCAAGTTGCTAATTATTTTATAGCCCTCAATTTTCTTGGGAAGGTAATTTTTGGTAGCCTTAGAATGTTTTTGCTTACAAATGTTGCTTCATTTGACTCTTCAGGAAACTAATTCATTTCAACACCGTTTACAACCTTTCTAGCAGAATGTTGTTGGACGTTATTTTGAGAGTGCTTGTAAGTTCCTAGTTATAGATGGTTATCTGTACGATAGATAAGAAGACGGGTGAGAAGAAGAAGTCTCGATTTGTTCGTCAGGACGAAAAATGTATTATGCGGATTGAGAGCTCCGAAGCATTTTGTCTTGAGCCTTTCAAGGTGAGAACCTTTCAGATTTCAACCAACGTTTGTTTTCACATAGTACAGGTGGGTGTGGCTTCCGTACCTCATACTTTCGTTTTTCATCTTCTAGGAATTGCCTCAGTTGGGCCGGTTTACCCTTCGTGACGAAGGCCGTACCATTGCTATTGGAAAGGTTTTGAAAGTTATTGAGTAATTAGTGTCTCTCTATATATTTCTTTTGAACATTCTTTGTGTTCGTTGCCGTCGTCCTGTCACCAATTTCGCCGACATGGTTTTTTATCAAAATTATGCAGCTTGTTAAATGTTGATGTTTTGTTGCAGTTTTTCTTTTGCTTAAGAAAATTCGGAAAGTGTAGGCTTTCGACCTATGTGATTTTGTTAATAATTCTAGAACGGTTTGATTTTGATATCTGTTATTTCTACTATAGGTGATCACTACTGTTATTGGGTGGATTTTCCTCTTGATGTTTTAAAACTTCAGATGAACTGTTGTTTCATTGATGAGTTGTTCTTGTGAGTTCTTTTTTTCAATTGAACTGAACGAGTTATGAACCCGAAAGCGGTTTATCCAGATGTTATTAAGTTATTGATTTGAATCGAAGTAAAACTTTATGCGACATCTGTAGGTGTTATGACTACCTGAGCATGTTTGTTTCACCTAGATTTATTTGAAAGCCTAAATATGTGTTTTTCACAACCACAGTGATGCTAAGCTATTTGCAAAACTCCGGGCCGCAGGTGTTTGCTGTGGTCGGATACGCTATTGTCGTTTCCGGAGCTGTTTTCACCACCACACTATACGGATCCCTCGTTTCGTTTTTCGCTCGGGTAGTTTTCTATCTTGCTGTTAACGATCACCCATCAACGGGATTGATCTGGGTAGCACAAATCGGGATCGAAGTGAATTAAGCTGTAGCTGTGATATTAATCACAATGGAATCACTTTTTACTTATTGCATGTGTCTTTTTGTTGAAGGAGACAGACCTTGTAAATATAACTCTCACTAAAGATGGAAGTGTTGAGGAAATTCAAAATTAGTCATGACAGTTAACAATATCACATGGGGACGCTGAGATATTATCACAACTGGAGGTCTATTGTGAGTTTCGAACCTATGATTACCCTTACCGGGGTCTCAAATGCTATACACCTCACAATCCGAGGCTCTTGCTTTGCCTTTTTATCGGAAAGTTTGTTTACTTTAACAGCGCTATCAGTAATCACCACTAACCGGGAATGATCTGAGGAGCACTAGTCGGGATTGGACCAGGTTAAACGGTAACTACAGTCGAAATCGCCATGTTTGATTTTCTTTTACTGCTTATTTCTTTTCCGTCTGCCTATAAAGCATATAGAGTAAAAACACGGCTAAAACAGAGGCAGGTAGTGGGTAGCACGTGAGCCCCGATGGGCGTAATCGAGTGTTCCAGACCAAACACGGGTCCATGGCTTTGTTCATATCTCGGCATCCGTTTGGTTGTATATCACATCGTGCCCTGCCACGAAGAAAGGATAGGCAAAAATAAATGTTCAGATATTGTGAATATGACGTGGTATCCTCGTTCAACTTTTTTTCTCGCCAAAATTAGCACAATACATTGAATCCAGTGCTTTTGATGCGAGCACGATTTCTGGTGTTAACGTTAGATCTAAATATCTCAGCTCATAAGTTTGTCATTTGTGGCACCATTCAAGTGCATGTGATAACATCGTATCACCTCTATCAATATTCCTTCCTTTGATCTTCGATTAACCTGGATGAGTGCTAGTGAAATACTTATTTGTCCTGGCTGCGTGCAAGTGTAGACGAATAGGTTCTGTTCGCGCTATCGGCTCTGCTCAGTATGAATGTGTCGTTTTCTTGTTCAGCAATCGCGAGGTTTTTAAACAGCATACATTTACTTCCATAAAAAGCACAATAAAACGTAGCAGGAGCTGACGTTTCGGCAGTATCGCCTTCTTCAGAGCCTGGAAGGGTATACTGATATACAATCTACTAGGCCAAACGCTTCAATAACACTTACAAAAAGACGAAGAACTCTTTGGTAATTACATGATCAACAACTTCTCGAAAAACTCACCGCTTTTACGTGACTTCCAATGAGGAAGTTTAGAACAGCTGATTATAGTCACATATGGTTGATGACTGCACCATCCCACATCAAAAATCGATGCGAACGTACGAGATCAGGTCGCGTATGATCTCCGGGCATTCGTCCCTGCTATTCATTGTAGGGCTTTTGGCATTGATCCAAAAAGCCTCAAGGAGTTCTCGCGCTGGTGTTTTGGACTCCTGTGCGAGAATATTGACTTTTACTTCAAAATCGTCTCCGCTATGCTTTTGTATCTTATGCGTGCCTAGTGGGGTGCTTCGTCTTAGTTTTCGTTTGCCATCTAGGTGTTCTTTCATACGGATACACAAAGGTCTGCCCGTTTCGCCAATATATTCATCTCCGCAATTGTTACAAGAGATCAGGTATATCGTACCTGAACTCATGCAATCACCGTCCCTGCCGTAAGGGCAAATTACGCAATTTGTTGTTTCACACAGACGGTCGTACAGGCGGTTGCGAACTAATTGGCGACGAAGAGTAGCCGGTGGTATTTCAACTATCGCTACCGATTCCTCTAGACCCCCTTCTTAAGCATCGTTTTATAGCTACGCTTACTTCATCGCTCATAAAAGGCAACATGAACGGGACTTTCTTTTGGCCAAGTGTTTCGCGTGGGCGCGTCGTTCTCCTTGTAAACTTATCTCGTGGGGTTATTATTTCGTAGCCATTGGAGATGGCTATTTGCCGAGTCAAGTCGCGCGATTCTTCCTTTAGTTCCGTGGTAGTGCACACAGAGGTGGCTGTTCGAAACATGTTTCTCGCAATCGCCCTCTTTGTGTGTGAAGAGTGGGAAGAAAGGAAATGAAGCAGGATGTTCTTGTTACTTGGCTTTCGATACCACTTCGTCAGGTAACCGCTACTTGATAGGTTTATTTGGGTCTGCTCAGGATATTTTTCCTCTACTGTCTTCTTGAAGAACTCTGAGAATCCAGTCGATGGTCTTCTTGTTGTGCTTTTACTATATCGAGCAATCCAGTCGCTAACGGCTATTATTATTCGGTTGTACGCATTGCACGTCCGGCCCACCTGATTTTCGACATTTTCGCGTGCTCAATGCAGTTTCCAATCTTTGACAGTTGACCTAGCTCGGAGGGTCGGATTCTTTCTCTATTAAGCTATGCGAGGTACTCATATTATCGATCTCTGCCTGACTAGGTTTCTGACCCATACGTCAGAGCGACAGGAATCGTATGAAAAAGGGATAAAAAGAACAAGGGTCTCGGCGTTGATCAATCCCTGAGGGACACACCAAACATTCGACCTTAATAAGCATCGCTGTGGGTGCTGAATTCATATCTGATCTTTACAATGACTCGCGGTGGTCTACCGATGTATCGAGCCAAAGCTGCTATCCTCCCAGGCTTGGAGGACCTTGAGTGCGTGGGTGGATCCTGCGTGTATTGGTCGGCGCCTGTGACCACTGCGCCGCAAGCACCCTTCCACAGGAATCGTCTAGCTGAAAGTGTGCTTGTAGTAGGGCGTTCACAGTCCTCTTCATTACATCCTTAATGAACTTGAAAGCTCATTGTGGTGAGAATTCGAATACCTTCATTTCGTTGAGAGTGCAGAGTGTGGTATCGGAAACAAATCGTTTCCTTATATACATCGTTTACATAAGTTCTAGTCGAAGGTCAATATCCGCAAGCGTTGTCGTTGCCAACTACCATTTGTTCTTGCTGCTAAATGTATGCTGTCGAAATCACGATATCATTGGCGAAGCGAACAAAATATGGTAGCCGATCATCGACTTCCTTCATGTTGTTTCAATTCCAATTTTCTCGTTCTTTACACGCTTTGCCTCCAACTACGTCATTAACGTCGATGTAAATATCGTTATGGAATGGTGATATTTTAGTTGTGAAATTTCTCTACAGCTTACGAAAGATGTTTGTATACTGAGCAGCTACGCCCAAGTTGTTCAGACCTTACATGAGCGCTTCTGCCGCAACTGAATCATAGTAAGAAGTAGTAGTGAGTAACATTTCGGCAGGTTCCACCTTTTTCAGAACCTGGAAAAGTGAAGTTGACTGAAATCTACTAGGCCAAGCACTTCCATAGCCCCAACATAAGAATTACGAAGTCTAGATTTCAATCGCATTGAAGACGAAGAAGCTTCCTGGCACACTCACCGCTTCCACTGTGTATTCCACGTGAAGACTAACCGCACAAGTTCCATATGGATGAGTCTCTCACCTCTCTCTCACTAAAATATAAGTCTTAAATATTATGTGATATCACACGTGATAACGAGGCATTCTTCCCTGTGGTTCATTTTCGGGTTCTTGGAATTATTCCAAAATGCTTCGAGAGGTTTGAGCGCTGAAGTTTTCGTTTCCCGTTGGAGGATGGTAAGTTTTACTTCGAAATCCTCCACGTTATGTCCCGGCATCTTATACCCGCCTAGTGTAGTATTTGCCACAACTCTAAGTTTGCCGATTAGTTGTTCTTTTATACAGACGCAGAGTGGTCTACCAAGTTCGCCAATGTATTCATGCTCGCATGCCTTAGATCACATGAACCGTACCCGAACTCGTGCAATCACCATCAATTAGGGCATATTATCCAATTTTGTGTTGCATGTAAGCTGTCACACAGGCGATTACGAACTAACCGACTTGAGGTGCTCGGTGGTATTTCAATCACTGTTATCGAATTCTCTAAGTGGTCCTTTTTAAGCAATGTTTTATAACTGCTCTTAATCCGTTAGAAATTAGGGGCAGCATTGAGGATACCTTGTCTTCACAAAACTTATAATCTGGAGGCATGGTTTTCGCTCTGAACGTATCCCAAGGATTTACAATTTTGTAACCGTAGCAAACAGTCATTTTTCACTACGAGTTCAGGGATTCTTCCTTCTGTTCTATTGCTTTCACCCACTACTGGTTTTTCGAAATGCGTTTCTCATGAGCTCCCTCTTTACGTACGAAGGATGAGAGGGGAGGTAATGAACCAATGTTTTTCTCAGGATCGACTTTCATTAACCTCGGCATTGGAATATGAATGCGTCGTTTTCTTGTTCAGCAATCGCGAGGTTTTTAAACAGTATACATTTATCTTAACTCTTTTATTTACTACCTTTTCTTCTTAATGGCAGGTTATGTTTCGAATTATAACTCGTATGAAATGCTGAGATATTTGCAAAACTCCGGACCACAGGTGTATGCAGTGGGGAACGAACGAACAAAGTGCGCTGCTCCCCGGTAAGGACAACAGTTGTTGATGGAAAAAAGATCGATAGAACTAGCTGAGAGGCATGCAAAGCGAAGGACCCGGATGGTGTAGTGGTGAAGTGCGCTGCTCCCCGGTAAGGACAACAGCGCGTGTTCGTTCCCGACTGCATACACCTGTGGTCCGGAGTTTTGCAAATATCTCAGCATTTCATACGAGTATACATTTACTTCCATAGAAAAACAGAATACAGTACAACACTAGCTGACGTTTCAGCAGCATCGCCTTCTTCAGAGCCTGGAAGGGTATACTGATATGCAATCTACAAGGCCAAACGCTTCCAGGCTCTGAAGAAGGCGATACTGCGGAAACGTCAGCTAGCGTTGTATTGTATTGTGTTTTTCTATGGAAGTAAATGTATGCTGTTTAAAAACCTCGCGATTGCTGAACAAGAAAACGACGCAATATTTTTCTTTCCTGCTTGGGTTTCGATACCATTTAGTGATATAACCGTTTTTGGCAGGTTAATTCGGTGGTTTGAAAGCGGGAGCTAGTTTCTTCGGTTTCGCTCCGGTGAAATTTATTTACTGTCGCTGTTGGTTATGTAGTTCGAAACATTTGTCAATCTTATCTTATGTTGATCAAATGTCTAAAAGAGTCGTCAATATAATTAGAGTAGAGTAGGGGCTTCAACGTTAGACATGGCAAGGCTTATTGTCAGTCGCTGTGTCGTTGCCAACCCTCTCATTTGTGCGTTATCTTTTATGGACCATCCGAAAACTAAAAAGTTTAGGTACTCCTTAGGGAGAGCTATGAGCTGGTGAATTGAGAAGCCATGCGTATTAACTGCTCCTTCGTGTTGCACAACGAGCTCGTGTAGGGATAGCATTACGGAGTCATTCGACACATTACAAAAGGCGGTAATGTTAAAGGACTCCATTAGGTATGCCATGCTAGGAGGTGCGTTACGTAGATGATCCGGGTAGTAATCGTAGATGGTTTTCTTCATTTCCTCTTTGGAAGCTGCAAGGGTTTCCTCTGGTGCGGAATGAGATAATTTTGTTTCGAAACCGACTTTCCTTGAACCTCGGTATCACTAATCAATATGTATTCTTTCTTTGATGAGCTTACACGAGGTTGATAATGACATTTATTTTCGGCTATCGTTTCGACGTCTTCGTCTTCCTCAGAGCCGATGATCCGAGTCGATGGTCCATGCTTGTTGTTCGTCTCGACGTTGCAGCTTCGCCTTCGTGTCGAGTCAGGTTTTCCTCAGCGGGCCATCTCCTCGAATGAGGCATGCTCACTAGGTGATGCCCTTTTATACAGGTTGCTGATGGTAGATAGCTGTGCTCTAAATGCTCTTCCTAACTTCTGCAGCTTCAGCTCGTTTTATTGTTTTCCTGCAGAACTTTAGGATTTGATTTCCTGAACTCTACGGTTTTACTTTTTTTCACGAAAAATGTAGCTTCACACAAAAGAAGCAATGGTCTGATCCCGTGTAAATCCTTTGACAAACGACATCGGTTAGACAAATTCTTCGACTTATCCTGATATTTCATTATGGTACTCTTCATTTGGAGACTCCCGTGTCTAACCTTAAAAATGTTGTTTTTGAAATTACGAGTTATCGTGAATGATCTTGGTCGTCATGGTAAACTGAAGCAGCCTCTCACCATGTGTGCCCACTGAAATTCTCGATGGTGACGTTAGCCCTTTCACGACCATTTGCATTGATTTCAATTTGTGAGCTGCCCTACATATTGATTTCAATGCGCACACTTCGTTTTTTATGGCGTATTTTGCCACACATAGCTTTTTGCCGGCCTTCTTGTAGTCGATCGATAACTTATCGAACACAGATTTTACACTGATGCTGGTGCATGGGCAGGTATTCTTATTGAGTTGTAGTAACGAAAAGTATATTGTCTTGTGCTTTCAGACCACTTATCCCATCTGGTCGAATTTCGCGGCGGATCTGTTGATACTGACCTCTATAAACGTTTTTTAGTATTTACAAAGTCTATGCGTTATCAAAGTGTCCATTTATTATTGGGCAATCTACATCCTTGGGAAAAAGGATGTAGTTGAAAAGAATGCCGTCACCACCTACTCCTTTATTGTCGCACGTTACCAAGAACAGTTTTCTCTGGTGTAACAGACGTCGTCGAATGGGCGGAGTCTTCTCATCTCATCCAACCGGATGACTTCATACCTTCTTCTTGCCTGCATGGTCAAGTCATCTATCGAAGAGTCAGATTCAAGTGAACTTACGTTATAGTTACAGATCATTACCTTAGTCCTTCCAATTTAGGCAGCTCAGAATGGCTCTGAGATTTTAACGGCCTTTCCGTACTCGTCGCACTCATTGCTGCCGTATTCGGTGGCCGTCTGCAGGCAGGGAATTGAAGCCTATTCATTTCACTGTATTTGGCTATTGATATCCAAGTGAGATTGCTGGTTCAATTCGGACCGTGTGCATTAACTTTAATTCTTGTTTTGTGCGGCGAAAATTGCTTTTCGGGGATTGCGTCGATAGCGTGGCTGTTTGACTAAAGGCTCGCAGTCATTGCGAAGCAATTTATGAACCGAAAAATTGAGCTAGGTTTTACTAAATTGCTTTACTATAACGCATCATTAAACACCACTAGGATTTTAGTACTATTTAGTGATTATAATGAGTCAACGCAAGAAAGTGATCGATTTGTACAAGCAACTGTATCATATGGGTAAAGAGTACCCGAAGGGGAAGGATTGGTTCCATAAAAGGCTGAAGGCGGCATTTCTAAAGAATAAGGTAAGTTACCGAATCGTTTATAAATTCTTTCTGAATGAAGTATTCATATTCCGCTTTGGTTCCAGGACGAAAAGGACCCGGTAAAAATCGACGAGCTAGTTAAACGGGCGGAGTTCGTTGTTAAGGAAGTTGAAGCGCTTTATAGTCTTCGGAAATACCGTGCAATGAAGAATCGGTATTACCAAGATAACTAGTGAGATAGTGTAGAATTCTGTAAAGTACACCTAAAACGTCTTATAAAAATTAATAACACCACAGGAGGAGTATTGCTGTGTACCAATGCTGGCCTACATCAGCAGCTCTCAGTGATTACCTATCTTTTCAGCAATTCTATAGATGGTTCAACCTTTTTATTGGGTTGCTTACACATGCAGCACAATATGTTGCCAAAGCTCAATATTGGGGTATTAATGTCGACATGATTCATGCATCTCCAATGCATATATTGCGTTTTGTACCAACAGGGAAGACTTGGTAGGCATAACTCATGACTCCTCTATTCTGATATTTATTTGATCGCATGTAGTTTCTTTATTACACTTTTTAAAGTTTAAATAGCTTATCAAACAGACATGTTTCGCTAGGCGTCAGCTGAGAAAAGCTTTTATCTTCTTCTCTTAGAATTAAAAAAACCTTTTCCAAACCAATTTTTGCTTGACTTGAATTCTACTGCGGGAATACTGCAGCGACCGTTACTGGTGAGGGTTCAGAGGGACCTATGGGATCACATATGAAAAGGGCATTAAAATGGGTAGTGTCCTGCATGAGTCTTCCGTCGATTTGTATCGATATATTATAGAAGCATAAGAATTGTTGCTAATAAAAGTAGTGTGTTAGCAGCTGTGCATGGGAAGTGCTTTAACCGGGATGAGTCATATTTGAATGACCATGAAGAAATTAGGCATCTCTATGACGATGGTGCCTAATTTTTCATCTGTTATGGTCTTGATGTAACTCTGTTCGCCATTCAAACACAACGCTATCAATATGTATTCTTTGCTTGATGAGCTTACACGAGGTTGTTAATTATATATATTTTCGGCTAACGTTTTGACGTCTTCGTTTTCTTCAGAGCCGATGATCCGGGTCGATGGTCCACGCTTGTTATTCGTTGTATATTTTTATTCTATTATTATTACTCTATTATATTATTATTATTCTTATTTGTATACGCTTTGTGCTAGCTGATAACATCGACTTCTGCAGGTTTGATTGTTCGGGAAAAACAAGTTACTATCATACTATCACCGGACAATCACAGCTATCTACCATCAGCAACCTACATAAAAGGGCATCACCGAGTGAGCATGCCTCATTCGAGGAGATGGCCCGATGAGGAAGACCTGACTAGACACGAAGACGAAGCTGCCACATCGAGACGAATAACAAGCGTGGACCATCGACTCGGATCATCGGCTCTGATGAAGACGAAGACGTCAAAACGTTAGCCGAAAATAAATATAATTATCAACCTCGTGTAAGCTCTTCAAAGAAATTATATATTGATTAGTCACACCGAGGTTCAAGGAAAGTCGGTTTCGAAATACTATAACGTTATCAATACATAATGAACATTACTTGGTTTTCTATAACTCGGTAATTTTTCGATATCTAGAACGCTGTGACAGGTGAAAACTTGACGGACTTACAGAAACGACAGAACACTGTCGTATCTTTAATATATAGAATACTGCATATTTATTCATGTTGCGAACTTAGCGCGATAAGAGACTAATCTTACTGGAACCTCTAGAAAAAACAAGAGGGCTTCACAAGCAGATCATTACACCTGAAGCTGAAAAGAAAACAATGAAGAGTACAGCAAAACCGGAGTTCTTAATTGGAAAGATGAGAAGGATGTTGTTATGATATCCACGGTTCATGACGGGACGCTTTCTGCTAACTCCAGATTGTTGAAAGATAACTTGGGGACGCTTTTCATGTGCACAAAATCATGGACGATCTATGCTTACCACATGCTGAAGTCTTTGCGGAATAAATTATCGATAAACGCTTCCTTATTTTACATTAGGAAGGCGAGTTCTTTCACATTCCATAAATATATAACTTCATATAACTTTTCATTGCTTTGAGGAAAACGGTGTCAGTAGGCAGAGAACATGGAGGCGAAGTCTTAGGGATCACACTGTGATATCAAGATTCTACGATTGAAGAAACACTGTAAAATTTGCTAAACAAGCTAGCAGTAGATGTAGCCAATGTAGGAAATATTACTATCCACGATTTCTCGATACTGATCACGAAAGCAGTAGATCTCAAGTATTGTTTACTTCCGTGGATGCTTGGATGGCCAGTCATCACGTGTATTGTGTATTGCAGCACACTTTCCGTTTGTTTCTTTTCGTGGCAATCGTCCCTGGTGGTGAACTGGTTCGTTCATTTTGACCTCCACGAGGCACATTCCGAGATCGTGAAGACGTTTTTATCTGCAGATAAAGATGGTTAACGTATGGAATCTCACTGTCATTTTGTTGGTCTTCCAAGGGGACGCTTGCTTTCTGTTAGGGTCTATTATTCTACTTTTCTTTTCGTCCATTTTCCATTTTCTTCCCACTATATGAGCGGCCCATCTGTGTTTCGCTAACTATATTCTCCCGGATCTCGATGTTGGGATAAGTTTCGAATATCTGAGCTGCGCGTTCCGGCTAGACGGTATGAGTATGGGTTAAATTTCAAAAGAGATCGTTCAAGCGCTCTGTGTGTGGTGCACAGATTTTCTTGACGCGATTGAAGTATCAATACACTTTTCTGTTGCATAATAGGCCGCGGAAAGACTACTGAATCGAAGAGGTGAGCGCGGTGTTTCGGATCGGTTGGTTGGTCGATGGTCTCTCTGAAAGCTGGGAAGCTGCCCAAGTTTTCTCCATTTTTGAGTAGTTACTTCTTTATGTTTTCTTCGTTTTCACTGAACGTCCAGATACAAGTATGAGTTCGTCTCTATAATCAAAGAACCATCCAGTTCGATCTGTTCCTTCGGACTATGGATTCTTTATGAACTTGCTTTTCTTCCGATTCATGTGTAGTCCGTTCTTTCTTGCCACTTCGTTGAGCTCACTGATCGTCGCCTCTGCTTCATTGGTGCTTCTTGAGAAGACGACGATGTCGTCGTCGAAACGATTTGATGGAAATTTCCCATTAGTACATAACTTTTTTCATCCCAATCGGGTGACTTCGTTTTGGAATATTATATAGCCTTATCGAACCTCTTCCTTTTCCTGTGGGTGTGGTATGGGGACGATGAAAAATGTGTATATTTGTGCTGTAGTTTCGATTACAGTCAGCTACTGTTCGTGCATAGGACCGATTAACTCCTTGGTCGTCGAGCGCTGATAGGACTTCATTCGTTTCGAGACTGTCAAACGCTTTTTCATAATCGGCAAAAGTTAGGTCAAAGAGTAGGTGGTAGTCTCTACAAACTTCTACGGCCCACGGTTAGATACGGTTGGATTTGGTCTACGCAGCAAAATCTCTTGAAATCTTGTTTGCTTAACTGGTTGTGCCTTATCCAATGCCCATGATATGCTCGACAGGGTAATCTTCGTAAATAGTTTGCAGAGTACTATCTACAAACATATCGGACGATAATTACGAAGGCCTCTTCGGTTACCATTCTTGGGAAGTATAATCGCGTTTTTTTGAGCTGCCTGCAATAACTTTTTTTTGTACAGATGTAAATCCTTTTGTAACGGTTTTTGCAGGTCGCATTCACTAACGTTACGTTTAAAGTCACGCTAGATGTCTTGCAATATGATGAAGTTTCATTCTTTTTCTCTTTTTGACCACCTTCTTAGTGGTTATGGAGATATAGTCTGAACTTCTCTTGAAGAACTGGGGCGAAATTGTATGTTTTAAGTCCTTCGATAAGCAACTTGCAGTACTCGGTCGGGGTCCCTTTATCTGTCAGTCTTATGAGTTGAAGATTTCATTGAGAATATTCTCGCCGTACACGACTTATCTTGTTCTTGTTGGACGATAACAAGTGTTCTTGTCAAGCTTATAACTGAATCGAATCTTTGCACACTGAAGGCGGTAATGAGATCCTGTAACAAAATTGAGGTACCACTGAATTGTCAAAGAGGCATCATTTTTTTGTTTGTAAGAATATAATCGGTCTCAACGTGAGCCGTGCCGTTAGAAGACTGCCTTGTCCATCGGGGGCTTTTTTTGGAAAAAGCTGAAAGACAATTTTCATTCCCGTTTCGATCTGCCAGTCTGAGTTTTCCTATTCCATATTTGCTTGCTCTGCCCGTTCCAAGCGTGACATTGAAGTCTCCAACAACAAATTCATTAAAGGGCTTACGTAGCGGATTATTTCCGCCACCTGTAAACGCGTCCAGTTCGCTCTCGTCAGCTGTATAAGTCGGTGAACAGCAAGTGTTGATACTGACTTTCTTTTTATGCGAAAGGTGGAGACAAAAAATAGCTAAACGCGATGATAGAATCTCGGAAGTGGTGACTTTATGGAAGGCGGTTGCAACAGATGTACGGCACAGCCAGCACCACTAACATTTCTTAACGGAAATATCCTTTCTCGAATAAAAAGGGTTTTTCATCTAATTGGCGTGTTTCGGTCTTCCTGCTTTTCCCCCTCTTATGGTGCAATCACGTGAAATCTAATGCGTCTAGCGGTCTCAAAAAGAGCGTAAAGGTCGGCGTCTGAAGAGTCTGCTCTGCTGTCATAGGTGCAGAGCAAGAAGCTGTGGTCATGGCGTGTGGCGGGCGTGTTAGTGTGGTCCTCTTCCAATAAGGCTCTGTGCCGTGAGAGAATTGGAAGGGTGTCACCGGTTGTTTCACGGCCCGACGTCGTGAATTGAAGCATCCTGTGTGCGAAGTGACGCCACTTTATAAAAAAGAACTTCAATATCAGAGTGAAACTCAAGTTGAAAGATTTAGCCTTCATTTGTTATTTATTTGTACTCGTAAAAGCATTCAACACCACGTTTTAGACTTTTCGTGCAGTGGCAGTGTTATGATAGTTCCGTTGAGTCTTCAAGGCTGTTCCATACTTCAATCCCGTTTTGCGCAAAACCCCAAGTCTACGGAGTATATGGTGGACACGCAGCGTAGGGCATTGAAATGGTGCTCAAACTGACGTTGGTTGTATCCTATCTCAACATCACGTAGTAGCACAGTGGCAAAGAGAACAAGGCCCAAAAACTATATCATTACAGTA